TAAGTAATATATTAAAGATATTAATATTATTTTGATAGTTGTGACTTTTAAAATTTTTATAAAAAGGTTTTCTTTGGATATACCATTCATAATTTATAGCATTCGAGGCAATATTTCGAAATATTGAGTTGGCTGCCGAGTTGGCTGCTAATTTCAGCCCGGTATTTATTCATTCATTTATTTATAATATTTTCTCATGTTACCTCACAGGAATTCTTTATCCTTTTCGTGGCTTCCCTCGCTCTTCTTGTATCAGCGGGTTCACAGATTGCCGCACCGTACTTCTTTGGTATGGTCATCACCGCAGCCATGGAACCTGGGATGAGTAAGTAGCTGAAAGTCAAGTCTTGACTCGCTCCCATTTAACAATTCATAACTGACTTGATAAGGACGGCATTGTAGTGAAGCGTTTGCCTTTCACTGCTGTGAGTCCCACAGGTCGGATCGCTGGATCGATTCCTGCGGACGCCATATTCTCCAGTTTTCCTTCTACTGTATATTTAACTTATGAATTTAGAGATGTTAGCACATTTATATTGAAATTAGTGGAAGTGGTAGTGTACATAAGTGAAAGTAAACTAGATAGCGGTTTTAGTAGCCATTGCGCACTTAAAAGCCAATGGCTAACAAATCTGTGGCTCATTTAGTGATGAAACTTGTAATTTATAAGCTGAGTTTTTGGAGGGAGGAAAACCAGAAAACCCAGAGAAAAACCCTCCGAAGCAGAAAAACAGAACGTAACCATGAAGTAAATTCTACTCACATATGACACCGAGCCCGGGAATCTAAGGCCTCGTCCAAACTTAATCGGAAATTTTCGTATCCGCAATTTTTTTTTTGCGGATACGAAAATGTTCGCGTCCACACGCAGCGTATTCGAATCGTTTTCAAATCGTTTTCACTGTCCACACGTATCCGGAAATTTCTTGATCYGCYCTGATGCACGCTAGTGCCTAGTCCCTTTGACGGATAGTTTTTCTTATTGAGCATGCGCAAAATCGTGTTTATGTCAGCGTATCCGTATTCGGAGCGTATTCGAAAATTTCCACTCTGGAGACCGTTTTTGAAAATTTCCGGATACGGATACAAAAATTTCCGGACACGTGTGGACGGGGCCTAAACCGGTTCGCATTGGCGAGAGGCGACACATACGTTATGCACACCACCTGTGCTTCATGGTCCAAATGTACAATGCTAAGCAATAATTCGAATCGTGTTTACTATCTCACAGAAAAACTAAACGAGACTATCCTGATCCTTCTGTTAATCTATATTGGTGGTGCTATTGGATCTATGATAAGAGCATGGCTTTACACTCTGGCTGGACAGAGAATAGTCGCACGGATAAGGAAGCAGGTAGGTCTGGTGCAGCTTTTCCTTTGCTTCCGCTCTTTTGTTCTTGGTAAAGTATTCTAGATCCTCTCCTTTCTCATCGGTCGTTTTCCGTTCGCACAAAATGGAAAAATTGTGCAATAATACCCAGAGGTCTTCATGGCATTAATCAAGAGCCTTTGCTGGTATATGATAAAGAAATCCCGTGTATAATCTGAAATACTACCAAGTGACAGTTGTCAATCAACCCAGTTTACGCTCTAAGAGCGTCTTGTCCCATCCCTTCTTTTTTTTTTTTTTTTACTGAATTAATTCCCCCCTCTTCATATTTTTTAGTTGTTCAACGCTATTATTCGTCAAGAGGTTGCCTTCTTTGACACCAACAGGTGAGTTCCCTTCCTTACCTTCGCACCTATATGGAGCAGTTTTCGTATGACTATGAAAAGCTCAGTGCCGTAAGCGTGACGTGTCGTGATCGTGATGCTTCTTAGAATTTTAATTGGCTGATTTTTTTCACGCACAATGTGATTGGTCTGGCGTATCCCTTGTCACGACCGTGTTCGTGCCGTGAATTTTTCACGGTCATACGAAAACTGCACTACAAACTCTGCATTTGTGTCACTCTCTTTGCTTAAACATATTTAGCCACTAAATGAAATTGTTTCCAAGACGTTTGAATAGAAAAGTGGTAGGCATAAACTTTGAGTGGAGATTCAGTTAGCCTTACTTTTGCTCAAAGTAAAATTCTTTTCTTTTCTTACCATTTTTAGAACTGGAGAGCTCATCAATCGCTTATCGTCAGATACTCAAGTGATACAGAATGCATTAACGGTACATAAAGCGTTCGTTTGATTTGGAAGGGTCCCTTAAACATATTCACATATAGCTTTAATTTGGCCCAAGCGCATTCCCCCTCTTGATCTGTTGAAAGTGCGATACCGACTTGTGCTTGTTAGAAATCGGTTATAGTTTTGTTGCAAATGCTACGAAAATGAGGCAATATATTTCTTAACCTCATTGAGCGCTAGCGCAATCTTTTCCCATTTCAAACCACGTGTCATTCTCTTGAGAATAAGATTCTTCGTTTGAGCTGTATCCATATTCATGTGTCTTCCCATGTGCAACCATGAAACAAAGAAATGATACTCTAGTAAATTACATGTGGTCTGATATGAGAAAAATTACCCCTAAAGTAAAGAGGTCTGTTCCCCCGATTCCCAGGAGAAAATGTTGTCCATCATCAGTACACAAAGGAAAAGGGGGGGAGGCGCGTGTAAGAAGGACTCTATCCCCAGTCCCCTTACCTATGCCCGACACAGGCCCGACACAAGCCCGACGCAGGCCCGACGCAGACTATCGATCAGAGTAGACTATCGATCCCTGATTTCGTTATCCCATTCGTGATTTGAGTTACTTATGGACTTATTTCAATTGAATTGCTACCGTTAGGTGAATATTTCCATGCTTCTGAGATACGTTATTCAAATCCTTGGTTCAATAGTCTTCATGTTCACACTCAGTCCTAAGCTGACTGGTGTGCTTATCTCTGTTGTACCGATCATCGGGGTAGGAGCCCAACAATACGGTAAATATGTATTTTATACATAACTGTCAACTCTCGCCTTGTGGACACCCCGATATCACCGACACCTCACTATTACGGACAGGAGCAAAATCCCCGGCGAAAAATACTGACAAAGAAATGACCATAGTAAAAACTCTCGCTATAGAGGCTTTGCAACATCACACGACGGCAGCCATGTTCGATGGCAGGAACAAAAATACTATTTCATGAGAAAGAATTCTTTTCCCAAGAGCAAAGGAATTTTATTGTTCTGCCATCTAACCACAGGCAGCCCCAGCTGTATTATGGGCGCCGGCACGTGATGGTGCAAAACCTCTATTGCAGACGCTCGTTGTTAAGGACACCAAGGGATGGTCCCGAGGGTGTCCGCTTTAAAGAGAGTTGACTCAAAGAGGGGAAACAAGGTTAGTGTGCGCTGCTATTGCGTCGCCTCTCACCGTGGTACGAGGTAGTGAGCTTGATCATCAGACTCCCAATCATATAATGAAAACGAGTTGTTTGTTGGCGTTCTCTCCTGTGCTTTAAGGGTTTTACGGGGTTATCTACCGTTCCCACCTCCGCAAAAATCTTCATCTAAATTTCAATTTGATCATGGTCTGAAAGAGGATATTAAGTGATACCCTCGTAAAATAAATAGAGGATATTACATGGGCGCGCGGAGATACGAAATTTATCTTCGAGTGTTGAAAAGATCTCTCATGAGTGAGCCCAGCGAACGAGTGAGAGATTTTCAACACGAGAAGRTAAATTTCGTATCTCCAAKCGCCMATGTAATATTCTGTTTATTATATATTTATCCATAAAATCAACTTAATAAGCTGTTTATTATTATAAAAAGTTTTTATTTATAAACTAATAGCTTAAATACACATGGTAACGATATTTTCACATGTGAAAATAACATGTTATTTTCACATGTGAAAATATCAGTTTTTCGAAAAGGAGAAATATAGGTATTTTATGGATAATTATATGATAAGGACGATTTGTTTAATTACTCATAACTCATAGTAATACATAAAAGTGGATCTAGTGTTCTGGATTAGGGGGAGGGGTAGGTAATAAGACGTCTCTGATATCTTCACTATTCGATCCAATTCAAATTTACTAGTCGTCGGTTATTGCCATCGGTTTTGCTTGATTTATAATTTCCTACCTTCTCCATTTAAAGGAAAATTCGTCCAAGGTATTAGCAAAAAGTATCAAGATAGACTAGCAGAAGCATCAGCCGTAGCAGAGGAATCTATTGGCAACATTCGTACTGTTAGATCGTTCTCCCAAGAACCGAAAACCATGGATAAATACGCAGAAGGCATCCATAAGAGCTACCTGCTCGGTGCTAAGCTGGCTATTGCATCTGGTGAGTTTTCATGTACCCCCTTTCCCTGTGAATTCCCAAAGGGTGATACGTAAAAAGGGTTAGGGGATAGAGCGGGGGGAGGGGTGGGGGCGTGTGGAGGGGGTATCCTGTCCCATTTTCCCCACCCAACGCTCATTTAGGCTTCAACGCATGAACATGTGACGAATAAAGGTTAATGTCCTGGCGGTTGCAAGTTTTCAAAGCTGCACATTTTATCTCGTTTCGCATGCCGCAATATAAGCATTCGCGCGCTGCGCTATTTATTGGAAAATCCGATGGATAATATAAACGGAGACTTCATGGAAGCAGAGGAGGTATATAGAACATGTTCCCTAAAAGTTATTTTTACTTGGGCAACCGTAGAGACTTTAAAACAAATTACCAATTTGCGTGCGCTAACGTTTATCCCCTCGACTAAACCCTGTGCCCAATTTACACTCATCTCAAGGGTTTGAATTATCACTTTTTTCTGTATATATTTTAACAAATGCGGATATTTATAACATGCATTACTAATCTATTATGATTTTATACCTTTTCCAGGTGGTTTTAGTGGCATAGTCATGTCTATCGCTCAGGTAAAAAAATGTTTGCCCGAGTCTGATTATTGATTATAAATTATGTATGCCAATTGCATCTCGGACTGTGAGGTTAGCCGTGGCCTGACTTTGTCAGCCCAGAAATTGTTTGAGGGTCTCGATAGAAGTTTAACTTAGGTGATGTAATTTTAATTTTCCCGCCAATTTCACAGGCGGCAATCGTATTGGTTCTTTGGTATGGAGGTAAACTTGTTAACGAAGGCGAACTCAATGTTGGCATTCTTACAGGTAAATCAGCATTTGTCCACACTTTAATTAATTTTTCTTGTTATGATATATAGATCTATGGCATAGATCTTTTTCGATAAACAGAATGCATTGTKGTCTAGCTTGGGTGCAAACAAGCTGTTTATACCCCATGCTAGACCACAATAATGCACCATAAGATAGAATGTTTTAAAGTATGTGGTAAAAGTAGAAAGAGTAAATACTGTACCAAATTATTGCTTCTTGGTTGGTCATGGATGATTATTCTTCTCTTTCAGCCTTTATGTTGTATACCCTAAACGTGGCCATGTCGTTTGCCTTCTTGTCTTCCCTTTATGGAGATTTTATGAAGGTATGGTATAGGGGAATGCTTGGGTAGGAAAAAACCAACATTGTTATTGATATTGAAGGCCTTTTTTTATTTCAGGCTGTCGGGGCGTCACAAAGGATGTTTGAATTATTAGATCGTGTACCAGAAATACACATAGAGGGTGGACTTGAACTGGTCTCTTTGGATGACTGTGAGTATTATCCTTCTTCTTATTCTCCTCCCATTAAAGTATACTTCAACGGAGTTGTTGGGTGCATGTGATCCCCCCTCTCCCCTCGCTACACACTCATGTCCTGCCTTTTATACGTAACGTTTTGAAAGAGGAGAGATTTCTTAGTATATAATTTGATGTTAATGGAGAGCCCCTCGTCCCCCTCACCTTCCCTCCCCTATGTTAGATTCAGGATACGCCCATTATGAGTGACCATACATTCACGCTTTTTAAATAACGTGCATTTTGTATTCGTAGCCATAATATTTGAGGATGTTTATTTCCATTATCCGACTCGACCTGACACCGATGTCCTGAAGGTAACTAACGTTTTATTGTTTTAAATGTGAAACACTGGTTGGACCAAATCCACTTGGGCGTAATGTTTTGCCCATTTCAGACCACGTGTCACTCTCTTGAATTTCTTTGAGTTGTTGTCTTCTCATGCGCAACCGTTAAACAAAGAAATGATACTCTAGAGAATGACACCTGATCTGATGTTAGAAAACCTTTAGGCCCAAGGTAAAAATATCTTTTATGCATCCAACCTCTATTTAGCGGCCACTTGATAATATCCCGAGGATGGCCGATTAGTTGAGGATCGACTATGTATCTCAAAACACGTTTATTCCTATGTTTCCAGGGACTCAGTTTTAAGATCGAGCCTGGCGAGACGGTAGCTTTAGTTGGTCCGTCAGGTGGGGGTAAGTCGACGGTCATTGGTCTCCTGGAGAGATTTTACGACCCTGTAACAGGAAGCATCTGCATTGGAAATGTGGAGATTTCGTCGCTTAATTTAAGTTGGTATAGAAGAAAACTGGCTCTGGTTAGCCAGGAACCGGTGCTGTTTGCGACGACCATTGCTGAGAATATTGCTTTTGGGAAAGACGCAACGCAAGAAGAGGTGAGGGATAAGTGGATGGGGGGAGGGACCTAACGAACGAAAAACGAAGGAAGGAACGAACGAAAAACAAACGAAGGAGGGAACGAACAACAAACGAACGAAGGAGGGATCGAACGAACAACGAACGAATAACGAACGAACTACGAAGGAAGTAAGGAAGGAAGAAAGAAGTTACATAAAGTAAGGGAGAGATGAATGAGTGGACGGATGAGCTCGTGAACTAATCGTACGTTGTCTTTCAGATCGAAGAGGCAGCCCGTCAAGCCAATGCCCACAACTTTATTATGTCATTTGAGGCAAGTTAGATACAAAACACTACGCCACAATTTACCTCAGCCAATCACAGTGCTTCAACAATTTGTTGATAACAACTACGTTGTCAGATATCTAATCATATCTCCTGCTCCTGACTGCCTATAAAGTTACTTTGTTTTGATCTTCTAAATAGAGAGATAACTTTATTTATACTTGATATGCAAAATAAGCCGAAGACTCGAATTAAATACATACTATTTAATAGATAATTACTGAGGCACGCAGCATTCGTAGGTATAATGCAGGCAGTTGAGGGCGTAGCCCGAAGCTGCCTGCATTATACCTACGAATGCTGCGTGCCTCAGTAATTACCTAGTATAATTATTGTTCTTATCAAAATCCAATTGTTTTCTTTCTAGCTTGTTGATCATAGAAACAAAACCAATAATGAATGAACTAAATATGTCTGATTTTCCTCTATGCATTCGTTGGGATAATGCAGACTGAAAACAATGGATTTTGATAAGATCAGTAATTATTATGATTGGTTAACGTTTCTGAAGTGGACGTCGCAGTGCTAGCTGACGCAAGCCGAATAAACGCGCTATGCGAATTCCAAGTTAATAGAGAGTTTTAGATTTACGTTCATGGCAAACGTGAAACGTCAGTTGACCAGTAAACAATTCTTTTAAATTACTGAAAAAGAATCGCAAAAAAGTCCAAGTAGTAGAAAAACAAAAGAAAATTTGCGCTTGGTGAGAAGGTTTGTAAAAGGTAAAGTAAAATACAGGAAAACGATGAAAACGTGGTCACGTTTGCCGTTTGCGGGGAGAAAAGAAAGTCAATCTAAAACTCTCTAATGACCGAATTGTGCTTTCCCTGATACCTTAATGTTTCGGCTCTTCTTGTTCCATCCTCTAATCTCCATGTTTGCTATTCTACAGGATGGATATAAGACCCAAGTGGGTGAACGTGGGATCACGTTATCAGGAGGCCAGAAACAACGTGTAGCGATCGCTAGAGCCCTTCTTATGGATCCTCAAATCCTTCTGCTTGACGAGGTACTATTGATCCTTTTTTGAAGCTATAATGAGTATTTCTGCCTTAGGTTTTGTCATGAGTTGTGATGGTGCAATGCCTTGTTAGGGGATCGTTCATCTTTTTACGGTCATAGGGGGTGTTGGTGGGTTTTTGCAAAAAAAATGTATCACCCCTTTTCAACCTTTTGCGTGGCCCCCTATGAAAACAGGATATTTTTTATAAAATAAATATTCTATTTAGCTAATTATTTATTATAGTTTATTGATTTTATTGGTTATTGCTTCAGGCTACCAGTGCCCTTGACGCAGAGAGTGAGTATTTTGTACAAGAAGCCATAGATCGTGCTATGGTTAACAGGACTGTTCTTGTTATTGCACACCGACTGTCTACTGTCCGTAATGCTCACCTTGTAAGTACGATAACTACTATCTTGGCTGTGTGGCGCCATGTTGGATGACAGATTAATGGTTTTCCTTCATCAAACTGAAAGCTTTTTTTCTATTGTCATGTCATCCAACATGACTGCCATCTACCTGTGGTTGATTTTTAATTCGCTGGTGGAATAATTTTTTCATCCATCCGTCCATTCATTCATCCATCCCTCCCTCCCTCCCTCCCTCCCTCCCTCCCTCCATCCATCCATCCATCCCATCCATCCATCCACTATCCATCTATTCATCCACTATCCATCTATTCATCCATCCATCCATCCATCCATCCATTCATCCCTCCATCCATCCAATCAACTACCGATCCATGAATCCCTTAGTCCCGAAAAAGCCTTCAAATTTTATCGAAGCCTGAATAAATCTCTGGGCTGATCTAAGTCAGGGCATGGCTAACTCACAGATCCAACCCTGAAACAACCTCTGGGCTGATCTATGTCAGGGCATGGCTAACTCACAGATAGAACCCTGAAATAACCTCTGGGCTGATCAAAGTCAGGGCATGATGGCAAACTTACGATCAGTTATTCATTCATTTATATATTTATTCACACATTCACTATTTCATTACCAGGTTCTCGTTATGGAAAAGGGTTCAATTGTCGAGCGAGGAAACCACGATTCTTTAATCGCCCAAAATGGTGTCTACAAAAAACTCGTTCTTCGTCAGCTGACGTCAGCAAACGAAGATTTATCCGATGCTGCGCACAATTTGGAGAATGGCGCCATTCAAGAAAAAGACTAACAGATCTATTTTTATCTTCTTAGAAACATTTTTGAAGGTTTTCAGAAACTTATGATCATCTTTGAACACTTCAGTTGTCACACTCGTGACATTTTGTCTTACGTCCGCTGACCTTAGTCTTTCGGGATACCTTTAACAACAGTTTACCGAAACTACAAACCGCCTTTGTATACAACAGAAGCAGTATTAATTTTCAATTTTATTAATAGAACGCGCCCAATTCTTCTTCACTTTTATTGAAAAGTTTTGGTGGATCAGGCGTGAGAGCAGCCTCCTACGCTTATTTCTAATCTTAACAGACCCTACGTCTGCGTAGGAGGATAGCGTGAGAGCACTCGCGTCCCAAATACAGTGGACTCTTTTTGAACAACCACTTCTGTAAACGACCACCTCCTTTTTAAGATTTGCACATGCGCCAAATTATTCATTTGAGCAGCAAAAGTTGTTTCTCTATATTAGCATCAAAGTAACAATAAAAATATCAGATAATCGAGACAAAGATTACTATTTAGAGTTCCTTTTTAAAATAGCTACGATCGCATAACGCGCGCTCTCATTGGCTAAACAACGTGTTATAACAAGATATAGAAATTACCTATTCATTTTCCTTTTTTTTAGTTTTTCTATACTTGTTGGTTTTGTTTGTCGTCGAAGTTCAAGTATCGCATCGTATACCAGAGACCAAGGGAAAAACGTTGCGCCCAAAGTCTAGCGCTGTGCATTGGCGTTCACTTCGTCTTCCAGGTTTCCGACTTCATTACTTGCGCAACTGAATCTGCCTCGAAAAATTCGACGAAATTCATCACGATATTTCTTACTGAAGACGAAGCACAAGCTTGGGTTGGTAATGGACGGGAGTACCTTCATGTGCAAAGAAAACTCGCTATATCTGTAAACCCAACAAGAATACCTCGTAGAATTGGCATTCAACTTAACAAATGGCTGGAATAAAACCGTAAATATAATGGGGAGCCAACAGATGCCAAATGTGCAGACGATTGCAAATGTCATTTTAACTATTTTCTTTTGAAGTAGAGATTCTTTGAGTTTCAGCTGGTCCGATATTGAGTTTCCCAGAACTTGAACTTGTCTTTTGAGTTTATGGAAAATAGCGGAATAAGCRGATGTTATGAGTAGAATGGGAGCGATGATGTTGGTGCACATTAAAGTTTTAAAGTAAACGTCAGAAGCGGTGTCACTGTACCAAGAAGCGAAACAAAATCTCCTTCCGTCCTTGTAGGAAACGTTGTAGATTCTTAGAAGCACAGCGTTGATACTAATAGAGGCAAGCCAAGCACTGGTGATCAGGATGACGACAACCTTGTTGGACAACAAGTGACGCTTATGTGGTAGCAACACAGCACAGAACCGATCAAATGTGATGAGAAGAAGACTGTATGTAGAACAGTCGACGAAAACATCGTGAACAAAAGGTACCAGTTTACAAACTGCAATTCCAAATTCTCCAGGTACCATCCAAATATATCTTCCAACAAACAGCCTGGCTATTTTCTTAGGAATTAGTACATACGGTATCCCAAGATCACAGACGGCCATGTTGGCGATGAAGATGTTTGTAGAGGTTCTCATGGTCCTGTTGGAGTACACGATATAGATAATCGAAGTATTACCGAGGATTGCTAAGAGCATCACCATAATGTAGAAAAATAGCAGAAACACTTTAACGCCTTCTTTTTCCAAAGGGCTCGAACACAAATCGTCTCTGATRTTGTCGCTATTGTTGGATGCGTTTAGCAAAAAGCTGGTGTTGACTTGAAGAGCCATTGCACATGTCTACCAGACGATAAATATGGGTTTGAATATATAGTCTCAAAAGGTTTCAAAACACTTGATTAGATTTACTCGAGAGTGGAAAACGAATTGTCGAAAATATAATAGTTAAGTCATCAAAGATTTTTTTAATGAGAGCTAACTTTCACTGGGCATTTCAAACAGTAGCAAATCTAACGAGATTTGCGTTAATGAATGAATACAAATAGTCTAAAAAAAGACTCGACTTTGTCTCTCTTAACCTGAGCAAATTACTTCTCATGCAAAGTAAACATCTGGTGAAATGAAGGCGACAATGAGGGAAGCGCTTTGACATTATTTCCTTTGTTGCACCACAAGTCAACATCATAAACATGACCCTTGCAGAGCAAATATTAAAGGCTCTCGTGTCTTACCAAATGATGAGTTGTTTAGTTTAACTAAATGATTTATTTAAATGAATGTCTTGGGATATATTTCTATATCCGTTCCTTGTCAGTTTATTTTTAAAGTTGATTAAAAAATTAAGTCGTAGTCAGTACTTGCAGTTCGATCTATCGACAAGAAAATACTAGCCAAACTAGCTACTAATACTCCCAAACTAGCTGTTTACAAGAATAAAAGAAAAAAGGGAAAATATTWTTTTGAATTTTAAACTATAAAATGTATGTTATTATCTTATTTAACCATACATCCACCCACCCATCAACACATCCATTCCATCTACCATCCTCTCATTTACCCATTCCACTTCCCATTTATCTGTCTTTCCATTTATTTATTCGTTCGTTCATTCATTTTGAGCAAAACATTATATATATCATTCTGCCATCTGTGTGTCATCTGTGTAATAATAAAAATAATAATGATGACGACGATGATGATGAACTCTCGACCAATGATGAAAGCAGAAGTGCTTGAGCGGCTGTAACTGCCTTTAGCATATACCAACTTGTGTACTTCCTAAGAACGCGCGCGCTCATTGGTTAATTGGAGGTGAATATTGTACGATATTCACCTCCGAATCTCGGAATATTGAGTCAGCAACAAAATGGCATCTGCCGGCAATAGTTTTGCTACAATTTCCGATGAAGAAATTGAAAAAATGAAAGTAAATGCCATTCCTATCAACACTAATGAAAAAGGCAATTGTATATAAAAAAAGGTACTCTGTACACAAGTTGGTATATGCTAAAACAATTATTCGCCGAAGGCGAAGTGAGTATGGAGAATATTTACCTCGCCGCTCGAAGACTCGCGTCTCGGTAAATATTTCACTTCGCCTTCGGCGAATAATTGCTAATTATTAAGTATTTRAAATAAAGGTTTTATGATTATTTATCGTTCTAGTTACTCGGTTGACTCGTTACCCGTTACAGGGCGACTCGACTAACTCGTGGATACGCGAAGSGTAGAAACAAGTTATTTATAATGATATTAAAGAATTTGATTTTGGATTTTCACGTGGTAATCACACCCCAGTTTTTCACAAGCGAGGCCGGAGACAAACATTCCAAATATTTCAGAATATCAAATCTTATTGGATGAAATATTTGATTGACATTATCACGTGATCAGTTGGTATATAAGTAGCGTTGGCGCGTGTTTTCTTCCTTTCCTGTCCGAGTTTCTGCAGAGTAACGATGTGGTAAGTTGACTTTGAATTGAATTTGGTTTTTTTTYCCTTATTTTTCTTGACCTAAACTTGGCATAAGCGTCTTTATAGCATTAGTTATGCTCAAAGTTTAGAAGGGCAAAATACTGTTCAATATTTGAGAGAGAAAGATGATTCAAACAAACCTTGAAAAGTTTGCAACTTCGAGCAAAGTTTTACGTCCGAAGTATATCACTTTTCAGAATCATTTTGAACGCTAAGTTTAGGACTTATAGTTTGTTTTAAAGATAATAATTTAAACAAGGAAAAAGCGTTTCTTAGATATGCGTCAAATATTGAATTTTGAATGTTTTCTAGGAAGATTGAATTTTTTTTTGAAAGCCGCTCTACGATTCATTCACACGGGAGCGTGCAAAGCTGCCACTCGAATTACAAAACGGCTCCTGCGCTATATTTTCTCTAAAACTGTGCTATTTTTAAACTCGAAAAGTAATTGATATACAATAGAGTACAAAATATTGTTCAATATTTGGGAGCAAAAGGTTTTAAAACTTTGGAAATTTGGAAACTTCGACTGCAACGTTTACAACATCATTTCATTCCAAGAACGAATGCGCGCTAAATTTAAAACTTTAGGCTTGTTTACTATACAACAATTTTAAAGAAAGAAGAGTTATCTCAGAAGTTCATATGAATCCTTCGTTGAATTCTGAATATTGAGAAAAAATTACAAGTTTTCAAAAGCGTTGCCGCTCAAGTGTGTTCAAATTCCAAAATAGTTTATGAAACTTTCCTGCGCTATATTTTCTCTAAAACTATCATTTTAACCTACAAAGAAATATAGCTATAAGAAAGAAAATATTTAAATATGGAGGGAAGATATATCTAAAGTTCTTTCAGAATTTTCTTGACACTGTGAACGCGYGAAAAGTTGCATGAATTTTCGAGATAAAAATTCTCGCGGGAATCCCGTAGAGAAAAAATATTTGCAAAGTTTATGCATTCAAGCCTATTTTGGATACATTATCATACCTACTTTTATTACTTTTATATTAACTACTTTCTGTATTTTTCAGTGTGACTTCAATGACAGATGAAGACTTTAATTTAAGAAGACGAAAGAAAGAAGCTTAAACTCAAGTAATTCTATAAGAGTCTCAAAACAAGCTCCAAAATTAAAATCAAAGTTGTTTCAAAGCAATGGGGGCGGATTTTTTTATCAATTCAGTGGTTTTCTACTTGTTTGAGTGCTCTTATTTATTAACTACAGAATCGTTCCTAAATCGAATATGGAACATTAAAACATTTTATATTTGACTTGCAACAAATGAGGGAAATATTTTGGCCTTCTGAAAAAGTGATGGGGGAAATAAATTTGGCCTTTTAAAAAATGTACAATTTGTATTTGTTTGTTCGGAATAATGTCTTGTTGTAAGTCAAAAGTGTTGTGCATTTTTTGTTAGGACTAGACTTAAGAGGGTTCCAGAAATACCAAGAATGGACCCAGGGAATGGATTAGAAGAAGCTACCACTTTACTAAATTTAGGTGGGGTTTATTAGTGTTTTTTGACTGGTCAATCGGCCAGGGTCATGGGACCAATTAGGTTAGCTTTTCATTAGGCCTTCAAGATGACAACGAGACATCAGCACACTGGAGCCATTGGATCTGGAACAGTCTCAACTACAGCTCAATAGAGCATAAACTGTGTCTGTGGTCCTTGATTTAGAATGGAGAATTGCCATTGTTTTGTGTGGGTGTGGTCATGCAGTTAACTAGTTTTTTTACASACACCAAAAGCGCCTAAGGTTAAGTAAGCTTCAATATCCTGTAAGGTTGTGGCCTCACTCCTCGGTTTGGCAGTGTCAGTCAGGGTTTGGTTTGGGAACGGAACATCCATTTAATTCATGGTTTATGAAGAAAATGGAATTATTTGAAATAAAATTATTTGAAATAAAATTATTTGAAAATGGAATTTGCATTTAAATGAATTGAATTCTAAAAAATTAATCTATAAAATTTGATTTGAATTTTATTATTATCAATCATTAATATTCATTATTATTCAAGTTTATTCAATATCATTTTCTAATATTATTCATTATTATTATTATTCAATATTATTACTATTACTATCATCAAATTATTATTATTCATTGTTATCATTATTCAATATTATCATTATTATTCAATACTATTATAATTATCATTATTATTCAATATTATTGTTATTCTACACTATTATTATTCTTTGTTATTATTATCCTATATTATTATTGTTCATATTCATATTCATTATCATCATTATTGTTATTATTGTTATTCAATAATATTCTTATTTTCAATATCATTATTCATTATTATCATTATTATTCAATATTATTATTTATTATCATCATTATAATTCACTATCATTATTATCATGCA